GTGTGGCCTTTTTTTAGATTTTTGCTTTTATTTTTTTTTTTTTTTTTTTTTTTTTGTCCAAGGGTGAAAGTATCACCTTAATGGCTGTTGAGCACCTCCAAGGTCAGGGCACAGTGCTCTCACATTTCTTTTTCCTGCCCCCCCCCCTTCACCCTCCCATTGCAGACCGTAAATTTGTGATAGCCAACGCCAGGGTGGAAAACTGTGCCATCATCTACTGCAACGACGGCTTCTGCGAGATGACCGGCTTCTCCAGGCCGGACATCATGCAGAAGCCTTGCACCTGCGACTTCCTCCACGGCGAGCACACGGACATGGAGGCCATCGGCCAGGTGGGCCTGGCTCTGCGGGGCTCCGAGGAGCGCAAAGTGGAGATCACCTACTACCGCAAGGACGGTGAGTCGCCGAGCGCTTGCGTGCGACACTCAACCCGAGAGAGGGCTTTTGCCGGTCGGCTGGACGGTCCGAATCGGTAACAAGAGGCACGGGGCGTCACTGCGAGAGTGATCTGATATTGCTGTCGTTAGTGGAGCGTCGCTATGAAGCCCCGTATCGCTTACTCTCTCACCCTGAACGCAAACATTGATGACGTCCCGCGTGAAACATTGATATCACCTCGATAGGCAAGCCCTGATCATAGTTCTGTTGTCCTTAACATACACTCGCCTGCCTTTACAATATCGGGAAGACAATCTCGTACCGTTTTCCCAACCTTGAGCCAAGGTACACATATTACATTGGAAAGAAATCAGGAAAAAAAAACGCCGATACACAGCCCAAGTGTATCTCGTGAAAGATCATTTTCATGTTTTGCCTGTCACTATACGTGGCTGGCGTAGATAGACCAACAAAGATACATTATTTGTCAATGAATCTTTTCTGATCGACACCTCATAAGTCACACCTTCTGTCACTGATAGGTTGTTTTTTCTCAGACGTGGTGGGGGCTGGGCCACCCCAAAAAAAGAAGCTAAAAAGCATTCAATTTTGTTTTGCTTTTTTTGCAAAGCGTCCCTTTAAATGAAACTGGATGATTACTTATGTCGGCATCACAGATCGTACGGTATCCACTCGAAACCCTTCATCCAAAATATCCTCCCTGTCCAAAGATAATCACGCTCGGTTGCGTCAGAATCCCAACGGTCAGTATTGCAGTTGTCATTTGGAAAGACTGACTGCACTGCGTCATACTGAGCAATGTATCGAATATTCTGTCCTCTCGTCATCTACTCTGAGATGAAGCAAGTGCGCATCGTGTGCTTCATGTGATCGACAAGCAATGGGTACACCTGCGCACGTATAGATGACAATTATCGGTCTGAGAGGTGAGGAGAAAAAAAAATCATTTTCTTCATTATAAACTGGATTCGTGTTGACAATGTTAGTTTCGTGAATAATACGTCGGAGACTCCCAAATTGCCAATGGCACGAATTTCAATAGGGTGACTCCACGACAAAAGAACAGTACAATCCTAAACCAGAATCGGGTACCGTGTTGTTAAAAGAACATCTCTCTGGCCTTCTTGTCTTTTGGCAGGAAGACGTTTGTACTCTTGATTTGATTGATGTTGTTTAAAAAAAAAATGCCTTCAATGAGGAGAACAGTTTGCATTGCACATAAGTGAATTGTTTGGCGTTTTGCACATTAAATAGGATCCCTCCGCGGGGCTTTTCAAAGCATCCGTGGTTTTTAAGCCATGTTGTTTTCAGCCAGTGCACACAGTAGCTTGATTAGAGCACGGATCAGTTCACTAATCTGTAATATTGCCACGCATGTGACGGCTCCGGCGCTGGCAGCTTTGCATAGAAATGCCCTCGGTTAATGCAAAGGCGCGTTGGCTCCGACAATAACGGCGCTGCTTGTCATTCATTCGCCGCGTATTCCGGCCGCCCCATGAATGGTGTGCCGCAGAGACAAATTAATGCCGTGGTTGCCGCTCAGCGGCACCAATCCGCAGATTGACCACCTCCTGGCGTGCTCTCGAAAAAGCTTTTTTTTTTTTTTTTTTGGTGGTCAGCGTGGCATGGCGTCCACCGTCCTTTTTCATTTGTTTGATGCGTTCATGTGACGGCCGCCCCGCGATAAAGTTCGGGCTGTGCAATTTTCAAAAATACTCAATTTTAGATGAGGTTGACGCTAAAATGAAGGCAGAGGAAACACTTTATTGGCAGCATCTATTTCCGTTTGAGTTGTTAACTTACTAAAACACTTTGACCTGCACACAATTCTACCAAATACGTGTCGCATAGCCTTTGCGATTTCCAAAATGGCACCCTACTGCTCTGCGATGTCAATTTGAATTCGATTCATCGTTCAGCCCCGCATGCCGCCACCGTGAGCTCGTCTCCCCCGAGAGTGATGTATGAAGGCGAAAATGCCGTGATATTTTATTTAATCATACAAAGGCAGATCTTTAAATTTTTAATTGTGAGTTTGATTAGATTCTAGGCCATGGATACATGTTTAATCTACCATCAGCCGCCACCAGCCTTGCCTTTTCCCCCCCCCACTTCTTGTTCATCAGGAGGAAGGAAACCGAGAGCCAGCTGCTCCACATGGCAAAAAATAGTCTCGGAAACACGCGAGACAATTACACAAAACACCCAAGGGCCTGTTCGCGAAGGCAGTAACGTCACGTTTATTTATTTATTTAATTTTTGGGGGACAAGCGGGATTTTCAGGCAACTTCTCTTCAAATCCCTTCCCCCCACCGTTTCCCCCGCTCCGCCATGCATGAGCCGCGCTCCATCTTGACATCATGTGCCTATGAGCATGCAGGATAAGAGCCTGGGAAACCTTCGGCGCTCGGCTTGGATACGCAACTCTTAAGACTTCTCCGAGGAGTTGAGACGGACGGCGCATGTGCGCTCATGAACAAAGATGGCAGGGCTGACAGCGCAGTGACGGCGAAGGAGCGGCTTACAGAGCAAATGCATTAAACCGGCGCGGAGGTATAGGGAGTGCGCGGAAGCTGCTATACAATCACGGAATCCACGATTCACGGCAACCGACCCAAATGTTTCACTCTACAGCTCCAACGTGGCGGCTGCGTGCCGTGTTTTCCGCTCACCGACACATTGCCGGCAATCGCTTCTCATTCAAATCAGTTAATCTTTTTTTTTTTTGTGCCAAAGCCCCCACATCTACCCTGCACCTAATACTTGTCACGAATCACACACACACACACACACACACACACACACACACACACACAGTACAAAGCACATCAAACTAGATTAGAGTGCGGACCTGTGCCAAGGACGAGGTGTGCACAAAAGTGAAAAAAGAAATTGACGCCCCCCCGCTAGCAATAAGTGAAATCTGCAATATTCAGAAACGCATTTACACCTCTTATTTATTTTATTGTGCTTTCAATCTCAAAATAATGCCAAACACATTTCAGCACATATCGTGAAAGAGAAAAAGAGCAACAGATAACGCACACATATCGTGCAGACCGGAGTTGATTCGACTTCAGCTGGACTTTTATCACACAAAAAAAAAACTCCAAAGTCATTTAACCCCGACGACAGAAAAATGAAGTCGGCGATTTTCATGTACCGCGGCAATGTTCTGTAGACACTACATTGTTCTCTTTATTCCGAGCCCCCGGACCAGTGTTCTGTTAAGGTCACATTACATACTGTTACTTTGAATGTCACAGTGCGTACGCAGGCTGCTTTCTGCTGCTCATTTGCAGTCGCTCCTCAGTAAGCGCTGCGTGCGGGAAATCCTCAGGAAAACGTGATGTCGGGATTTGACGAAGCGATGGGCGGCAACGAAGCCTTGATTCTTCTCAATGAGGAGGCAAAATGTTAAGCTGCTTACGCTTCAAAATAAAAGTAGCGTCGGGGACCTCGGGAGGCTCAGGCACGGAAGCGCCATTTTACTCTACGTTTCGCAAGGCCAGCAAATAGCAAATACACAAACTTCTTCCAATAATCGATGAGATAAATGCTTTCCCTTGATGGCCGTATGAAGCTATCGGGTTCCGGCGGGTGTAATAATACTTTGCGCCGCAGCGAGTCCTCACAAAAGGAAGCTGACACCAAGCGGCGGAGAGAAGTTAAATGGATAATGACTACATAACAGCGGCAGCTTAGCTCACCGCGCTGAATGATCTGGGCCACGCGGCACGCGTGGGTGCAGGGTTTCATAGGAGACTTCCCACCGAGGGGGGTTGCGAGCCACGGGGTCTCGAGTAGCATGGGGACGCCACGCGCCCACACAGAGAGAGCGAGAGGAAGCCCGCGGTGCGCTGGACCACACTCGCATGCATAACCTACAAAAACAGCGCATCTATTTTCATACGCAGCATTTGATATTAGGGGGGGGGGGATTTAGAATGCGCTAACTGTGAGACGATTCTATGCTAGGCATTGAACCACTAAAGATTTATTTTTAAGTCGATTATAATGAGACGGGATGCGATGAACGGATGGAGCGACAAACCGACTGACAGAGTTCTGTGGTAGCTAAAGCGAGATAGCTAGCAAGATAGTTGTTCTTTTCGGGGGGGGATAGCTAGCTAGCTATACTAGACTTAAAGAACCTCAAACCCGGTTGTAATGTGTAATTATTTTTTTTTTTCATATATGAACCAAAAAAAAAGAAGAGTACTTGTTACCTAGCATACATATGCTACATATTTACGCTATAAAGATGCTAGCTCATCACCGAGGAGCGACGTCATACGGATGGAGCGACAAACCGACTGACAGAGTTCTGTGCTAGCTAAAGCGAGATGGCCAGCAAGATAGTTGTATTTTTTTGGGGGCGGGGATAGCTAGCTCGCTATACTAGACTTAAAGAACCTCAAACCCGGTTGTAATGTGTAATTATTATTTTTTTTTCATATATGAACCAAAAAAAAGCAGAGTACTTGTTACCTAGCACACATATGCTACATATTTACGCTATAAACATGCTAGCTCATCACCGAGGTGCGACGTCATCTGTTGGAGCTTTTTATTGGCTGCCGCCAGATGATATAGGGCTGTGCTAATACCAAAATAAATACATTTAAAATCAACCCCAAAGGCTCATTAGGACGAAGACGAAGGACCTTTTCACGATATAGTTAGTTCTGTCAACGTAAAATGTACTTTGTTAGTTTTCATTTTCAGTGTTATTTAATTGTATTTATTTATTTTCAACATAAAAAAAATTACACATTCATGATCATAGGAGTGCAACTTTTTTTGCCGGCATCCTATTTTTGCCGCCAGATGATATAGGGCTGTGCTAATACCAAAATAAATACATTTAAAATCAACCCCAAAGGCTCATTATTAAATTCATTGACAAGGATGAAGACAAAGGACCTTTTCACGACATAGTTAGTTCTGTCAACGTAAAATGTACTTTGTTAGTTTTCATTTTTTTAAAGCATTTTCAGTGTTATTTAATTTTATTTATTTATTTTCAACAAAAAAAAATTACACATTCATGATCATAGGAGTGCAACTTTTTTTGCCGGCATCCTATTTTTTTAGAGGTTGAACAATTAAAGATTTTTTTTTTTTTGGTCTACTTTGTGTGTCAAGTCATAATTGAAGACAATCAATCAAAACTGGACCTTTTCGCATAAAGACAGCTTTCCACAGACTGGCATAGAAACAAATATAAACAACTGATTCGAAACATGTCAACGTAAAATGTACTTTGTTAGTTTTCATTTTTTTAAAGCATTTTCAGTGTTATTTAATTTTATTTATTTATTTTCAACAAAAAAAAATTACACATTCATGATCATAGGAGTGCAACTTTTTTTGCCGGCATCCTATTTTTTTAGAGGTTGAACAATTAAAGATTTTTTTTTTTTGGTCTACTTTGTGTGTCAAGTCATAATTGAAGACAATCAATCAAAACTGGACCTTTTCGCATAAAGACCTCTTTCCACAGACTGGCATAGAAACAATATATAAAAACAATATATAAAAACATATAAAAACAATTGATTCGAAACCCAAGTCACCATTAGGCTGAGTACTGTAGCTATCCACTGCTTGAATGTGAGTAGATAACCGGCCATGAATGTTAAATCTGTGTTCAATCTGCTTGAAACCTGGAAAATGTGTCCTATTTTTTACTGTCTTCACCCACCCAAAAAAAAAAAAAAAAAGATTTGCTTTGAGATTTGGGCAATGTAACAACACAGGTCCTTGCATTTTATTGGATTGGAATGTTCACCCACAGTTATTTTAATCTCCAGGGATGCTTGTATTGGAGGAAGTAATCTAATATTCCCCTTCATACCATCTGTCTTTTTTTTTCCCTCCGAATCAGTTGCTGCTGATTTAAATTTTTACCATCCATTCCATTTTGCTTTGCCAACATTTGAGCTAAATTAAGCAGAATAAAAGATGTCATGGCAAAACACCACGATTCAATCAATGCAAGCACAAACGTAATGTGGATTGAGCTGCGAGTTATCCCCCGATGGCTGCGCTGACACTGATTGAAGACGAAATTAGGCCAGCGCGTGTAGCTGCGAGATCATTAGATATGGCCACAATGCCCAAAGACTCAACACAAAGTGCTAGCTTGCATGCCCCCACCCTTCACGCCTCGGGAACATTGCGTATTGGCTGAAACCGGACAGCCCTGGACTTAAAACTTGTCAGAATTCATTAAATGAGTCCGCCAGCGGGCGACGATCCGTATGTGGCCGTAATGTGTAGAAGCCGCGCCATGGGTTGAACCTTTCGTAGAAGAGAAGCAACCGGAAAAAACAAGATCAAGGCTCAACGTGATTACCCATGTTTCTACCTGAAGCGGATCGGCTTATGCAGATTAATATGAGACCACAAATACATCACAGTCAAATGGGGGAGGGGCTAAAAATGTCAAACAGAATTCACACTACTGCACTGAAGATGTGGTCAGGAAAAAACATATCTATATTATATTTATATTATTCATATCATTCAGCGTTTAGCATGCTATGCAGCTTAAGAAAAAAAAACCCTAATTGTTATAATCTGTAGGAAGCGAGGGCTGAATGCAATATTCAAAATGAATTCCCAAGCGTGCTGATGATTAATTCAATCTAGTTAAGTTTCGAAAACAACGGCATTATTTGGGGCCCGTGAGTCACTGTCTAAAAGATCCCTTCATGTCGCAGCGGCATTTTGAATAATTGATCGTGGAAATAGAATCAACCGTAATGAAACGTCCATCATGAAAAGAAAGCCAGGACTTAATTAATATGCAGCCGGTTCACTCAGGCAGGTGGAGAACGCATTGTTTTTGTTTGCTTGGTTTGTTGGTATATTTGTCACCCGTGTGAGCCTTCCTGGCAGTTGTAAACACAATTAGACTGCAGGATGAATTGATTATCTCATTGCCCCCCCCCCCCCCCCCATGCCAGGTGCAAGTGCAGAGCGCAGCGGTGTCACCCATTAAGAAAAAATATTGGATCCAAACAGATGCACGTAGTCTCTCACATCTGCTGAGGCAATTAAAGGATGACAAGTCAGCAAGGCTGATAAGGTTATTATTGAATGTGATGTCATTCGTAATTACGAATGGAAAATTCTGTTCACACGGCGAGTTTTTGCGATCTGAAAAGATGAGAAGATGAATCGATTCAAACGTCATTGCGAGGGGAAGTCAAAATAATAATTTCTGTGGTTGCACGAGTGAAATGGGAGGAAGCACGCACACTTGTCACCATTTAAAGTAGCTCACATTAATCCTGAACAAATTTCTGATGTTCTAGTAGGCTTTCTTTTCTTTTTTTTTCTTTTTTTTAAACAATCAAACTATTATTTCCACCCCACCCTGAAAACAGTTTGGCTTTCATTCAATTAAGTAGTTCATGTTATAGGTCACATTGATGGTGACAAAAAGTAACTGAGCACCTCTCATTTCATCTTACGTCACGTAAACCTGGCATTTAAACAGGGGTGTGCAGACTTTTTTAAACCCACTCTAATAACTCCGAGCATGACATCACGTCTTGGATTAAAGAGTCTTCCATTTAAAAATATTGCTCACACATCAAGACCTGCTCTAGCATCATTCAGGACAAATAACAGAGCTGATCTGAGGTTGCCATAGCGATGGCACTGACGCTAGTTTTTCGAATGAAAACACCCATCCATCCATTTTTAACATCGCTTATCTTGAAGACCGTAGCGGGGAGTTGCCGAAGCCTATGCCAGCTGACTTCAGGCAGAAGGCGCACTACACCCCGAACTGGTCGCCGGCCAGTCGCAGGGCACACATAGAGACAAATGACCATTCACACCCACATCCGCACCGTCACCAAGTGGGAACCGATCCCACACCGCCTGCAAGTCCGGCGAGTGTGCCGCTACAACATCAACGACCTGAATGAAAACAGCCCACCCCAATTTGAGTTATTTTAGGGCACAGGGAATTACATACCGTTGCTTTAAGAATTCATGTCGAAACTCATCCTTCACATGAAGTATTCATTAGCCATACAGCCCATAACAAACTAGCGTGGATCCTTTCGAAACGTATGAATATTGTGAACCAATTGACAAACGCGGTCATCCGTTTAAACTGAATAGCGGCTAGCAAAATACGAAGCGACCAGAGCCTTTTGACAGCATATTACGAGATCAGATCGAGCGCTTGATTGTTCAGTTTTCACAGCTCTAAGGAGGCGTCTCTTTGAAGCATTTTGGCAGAGATGACATTCAGCGGGACACCAGATGAGTGGGGGGACCCCCCGTCGCTAAGCCTTTGAGCAGCGCTGTTGTTTCCTCTTCTGGAAAGAAAACAGGCAAACACAATTTTCATTCGGGCCGCACAATGACACCCGCGAATGCATTGTCTACTCTGTAATGATGACTAATACGCTGCGCGTGAAGCCGTGTCGTCTAATAGAAAAATCATGCATTTTATATCATTTAAGTGGGTTGTCAAGCGGAGTACCTTAGTGAATCACGATATACCACAGGCCATTTACTGCGGAATAAGCGACGACTAGTTCTATCATCTAATGCTTCAGATGGCGGTGGGAAACGTACGATCGTTCTCAAGCGAAGATCCCCCGCTGTACGATGCTGAAAATCTTACCTTGGAACCTTAAAATACGGCTCTACCGGCTCTCTAATAACATCCCCGAGAGTCTTTGCGGCCCCATGACGGCAGACAAGACGGGCGTGTCAGCGTTGGACAACTTCGAGCCAATAACACGCGGCCGCATGACTCGAATGAATAAACCCAGTTGAGGCCGCATCCCCAAAATACTTTGTTAGCGCACACGCTTTCAAATCACATTATCATACTGTCAGTGAGGACATCACTTCTGGGAGTTTTGACGGCAAAATCCTTCCAACACAACTCTGGCATGGAGCGGGAGACCGAGCTTGTTATATTTAGTCAGACAGCGAGTCTAACTGCTAATGAATGCTACTGGCAGGGTGTCTGTTGAGCCCCGAGGAGATTTCAGAGAACACTGGTAATATATGTGTGTGTGTGTGTGTGTGTGTGTGTGTGTGTGTGTGTGTGTGTGTGTGTGTGTGTGTGTGTGTGTGTGTGTGTGTGTGTGTGTGTCCTCTTTGGGTCAGAGAATCAAAACAAGAGAGACAGAGAGCTACGGAGATTGAGATGATGCTCTTTTTCTTTGTCATTTCTTTGAAGTCCGTCAATTAGAATGATAGCGGCGCAGTTTGAAATGGGATCAATTCAAGACGAAACATGGTTTCTTCTTGCATGATGTAAGGTGTCACTGTGTCACCGTAACACTCGAGCTACGGCGGTGGTGGTGTTACTGTTTATAGGCTGCAGTGAGTAGATTGGCGTGATGACACGTCGGTCGGCATCAGTAGCCTTCGCTTCCCCAGATAGATCCCGCACACTCGTGAATTGAGGATATTCCGGGTTCAAGTCTAAGTTTAGACGCCGGCTGCTTTTCTGCTCCGCTGCCCGGCATGACGCTCCCTTGTCGTGATTGTTCCTTTGAGCGTATTGTAAGCCTCATGATTGGCTCCCATCCCTTGGCTTCGTGATCAATCCTATTCAACTGCGATGGTGTCTAATGACTGGATTTGTGAAGGACATTTTATTTATAAGCTCCCGATAAGATCGAGATGCATACAGGGTGATCGAACCCCCGAGGGGTTAGCTCAGCTATTTTCATGCACTCTGACATGCAAGCATTGACCTTTAAATCAGATCAAGTCTTCCTCATTTTTTCTCAAAGATCCACAGGGAACCAGATGGAAGGGTTTTTTTTTTCATGAGAAGGGTAATGCACGGGTCAAGTGTTTGGTGTCATCATTATTTTCTCTCTCTCCTTTATTTTTCAGGGTCAGACTTCCAGTGTAACATTCACATCATCCCGGTGAAGAATGAAGAGGGCATAGTGATGATGTTCATCCTGAATTTTGATTACGTTTTGGACGAGGGGAGTGACAACTCCGCAGAGAAGATAAGCCCCGCGTCGCCCACAAAGTCTGATCAAAGTGAGTACTCACTTAACTCTCGCACTGTGATATAATCCCGTAACACCTTCAAAATATTCCGGCAAAGGCTAAAAAAAAAAGATACAGCGCAACGTTTGAGGTCGAATACAATCTGTTTTGCCATGTTGGCCTTTTGACCTGGGGAAAAACAGTGATAATTTCGTAATCCGTTCCAGGGTCAAACTGTCGCCATCGAAACACTTTGTTACATGCAGCATTGTTAGTCCATTCACACAGTGTGTAAGTGATGGTGCACCTGTTTTGTGCTGAATTTAAAGGGAATGAGTGAAGGAAAAAAATCCGCTGTATTCACGCCCAAAACGGTGCAAACACCCTTTTCTATCTGCACCCATTTCCAAAAAATACGAGAACAACGAAAACTCCACCCAGGCGCAGTTAGACTGCATTAGCCTTGCACTGGGCAGATGGTGTCAATTTTGAAAGGTTCCTAAATGTGCAACATCAGGGGTATTTGACCTTTGAGGTTCTGCTGTGAAATGATCTAATTATTTCTTATTTTGTCCCTTTGGACAACATTTAAAAACATCTTCCCTCATAAGCATAATGGATATTATATTCAAATGATTATTTAATTTAAAAAAAAAAAACATCATTAAAATGCTACTGCTTTTTCTTGCCTCTAAAAATATACAGCATAATAGTACTTCTTTTAATGATCCCACAGCCGTTATTCACAAAACCCATTACATTATTTATCCAGTTTGTGAATGTTGTTGTATAGAAGAAAAAAAAATGCCAAGTGTGCACACAGGGGAGGAAATGCTCTGCTTCTATAGCCGAGCTCTGATTATGGAGCCAAATCTTGTTTTTCATAATGATACCCTCTGTACCCTGTATGTCTTTTGAGAGCTTCTATAGCCCTCATTTATTTCCTTTTATTTTTGTTTGGATGAATGTCAGAAGGTTGAAATATCAATGCGTCTCCTTTCCTTCAACATCTCTCTGAGTCAATCTCAGCCATCCTCTTCATTCAGCGTGAACTGCGCTGGCATTCAGTTTGTGCTGTGCCTTGTGAATGTAAATAAACACGTGCGCGCGTGCGTGTGTGTGCACGCAAAGCTAACATGACTAATAACATTTGATTGCTTGTGAGCGCACTTCGGCAAAGGGGATCTGCGGGTTGATGATGGAACAGCTTATGATGCAATATGACGTGTTTAGCATACACTGAAGGTGTCTTTGGAGTTGCATATTAATGTTGTTCACTAATGTTATAATCTTTTTTTTCCATACTGTTTTTAACTGCAGTATATAACATTAAGGATAGGAATGTGGAAAAGTATAAAACCAGAATTAAATATTATATTGGCGTCCAAAGTGAGTGTCACCGAGGCATACTCTCCGACATCATAAAGCTTAGTTTTGCTATCCATGGCCAAATGGTAAAGGGAAATATTATTTCAATTAATTGCTCGTTTGGAAAGACCACGAAATTAGCGATGGCTTCTTTTGCCCCCTGAGGAAACAGTATACTCAATCAGAAAATGTTTCATGCTGACAGACATAAGCGTTAACTGCCAAGCCCACTGAAATTCTGTTGCAGACCTACACAACAGCACCTACAAAGTCATGTGAGTTAGTTTACTGGATGGAAAGATGGAGAGAGAAAGATTAGCGTGACCTAGCTAGCTTTTGAGCCGTAGCACTGTGCTAGCTAGAGTTAGATCGCCAGATTATTGTATGGTTAGCTAGCTAGCTAGCTATAGCTCTATTCCAAATATTTCGTGAAATAGAAATGTGCTAACATTTTCAAATTTCGCAAAATTACTACAGTGTTGAAAATTGTATTTTCTGGTGTGAAGGTTTATTCAAGACATTAACATTGTGTTCTGTCCATTGTGTTGTGTGTTCATTTCTAAATCTACTACAGCCACTATGTCAGGAAATGTTGTGCTGTGTTTGTAGGAGAGTTGAAATTCTGCTCAAATGCCATTCATCGTTTTCCAATATTCTCATTGAGGATGTAATGACAACGCCGATACTGTGATATCAAAATTGCCACGATTTGCCATTACAACAACAAAATGACTGCCCACTTCTATTTCTCTGTCACGGCTGTTTTCTTATGTGCAAAAACACAATATGAAGCGGAAAGATGCAGATGAAGCCAAATATCCTAATCCAAGCTAAGGTTTTTATATTGTTCCTTCAAAAACCCCAACATTAAGGGATCCAAAGTAGCCATGCGGGTCCCTGCAGGTGGTTCATCTCCTGCAGCACAGACTACTGGTAAATCTATAAGCCTCTCTCCAGGAGTTTCGTGTTTAGGGTATGGAAACAGATGGAAAGTTATTATTTATGTATGTAAGGAGGATGCTGGGAGAGAGGCGGCTCACAAGGGTTCACTTTCATCCCCGACTATTCTATTGTTAATGAGTCAAAAGTTTTAACTTCGAACGGCCTGCAAAATTTTCCTATCAGACTTCAATTAGCAGGATAAAATACATGACAAATGGATTTTCCTGAGCGCCAGTTTCACTCGCCTCCATTAAAATACAGTCAGCCCTGTGCCTTCACACTTTCTGTAAATTCCCGCCCATTTTTAGGGGGTCGATTTTTCCGCTTCCGCCAGGCTGCCTTGAGCCTGATGAATACCAACAAGCAATCGCTTCCACAAGAGGACCCAGACGCTGTGATGGTGGACTCGCCCAAAGACAATGAGGACTCGGTAGCCCTGCAGAGTTTCCCCTCACCCACCAAGAGCATGTGCAGTCCCATCGAGGCCAACGACACCCACGCCCTCATCAGCTCAAGCCACCACTCCTCCCAGGCCAGCGTGGCCCCTGAACCACTCGACCATTCGTCCCCCAAACTGCTGTGGGAGAAGATTTACCAGACGGAGGTGCACCAGTCCTCGACCTCCTTGTCCAACACCTTCCCAAGAGGAAGCGTCACCAGCATGAGACGGGCGTCCTCTGTCCATGAGATTGAAGGCTACAGTTCCAGTTCCAAAAGCATTTTCAGGGACCGGCATACAAATGAAGGTATGCGTGCAATGTCTGTCCATTTACGTGCACAAAAATAATATCTGACCGTTCAAATATACAATGTCGACATCTGTCTGTGCATTAACATACGCACTACACGTAATGATAATTTAACCTTCTTGTAATGTGCATTAGGCTAACTCTGACCCGCTCTGTGTTTTATCAACCAAAAATATCAAACAAAATGCTAATTAAATTCGTCAACTTTTTTTTCAAAGGAATAAAAGTAATTAAACGCCTCGCAGTATTTATGGGTCAAAATGACCCGAGGGATTTTTTTTTCATAAATAAATGTTTTCAATATCTTGAAATTGTTTCATTTAATGTAATATGTCTATTTAGAAGTTACTAATACATTACATTTTTTTTCTTTTTTTGATCAGCAGGTCCATTTAACCACGTGAAGTCCAGCCTGCTTGGCTCCACGTCGGATTCCAACATCAACAAGTACAGCACCATCAACAAGATCCCCCTGATCGCGCTCACCTTCTCGGAAGGGAACGACAAGAAGACTCACTCTCCTCCGACATCGGAGAAAACCATCATCGCGCCAAAGGTCAAAGACAGGACGCACAACGTCACAGAAAAAGTGACACAGGTGAGCCGTTCATGGGGTATTATTTTTGACGGCCAAGCATCGAGACACCACCCCCCCCACCCCCCTTCCATGGTAATTCACAGCTTTGCCGGGAAAAAAAAAGTCAGGGCCTCTGGCTCAGCGGCGGTTTGTTTGTGGGCTTGGGAAGCTGCCAAGGCCCCAGCGACGGAGCTCTGACATTCAGAAAGAGAGAGAGGGGTCGTTCCTGGAAAGCACAGGAATAATAATGTGTTGAAAAAAACTTTTTTTTCCCCCCTTTAAACTCTCATTCTCATCTCAGTTCAGTGTTTTAGCTGCGGTTAATAGAGAAAAATCCATTGTCATAAAATTATGACTTGCGAGCTCAACCGCAGGCTTACAGACAGCTGGCATTTAAACTTAAAGACATCTACAGCATGAAGACACAAAGGACAAGCTAAATGGACAGTGTTGGACATCCTTGCTGAAATTGTAAGTTTGCTCCTGCGAAAAAAAATCTGTCTCTGGTTATTCTGCTTGTTCATTGATTATAGAAAAAGATTTTTTTCAAAAAACATTCAATATGACAGTAACAAATTGTTTTGTTGTATTTTATGGAGTGAAATAGGTGGTTGATCCCCAAGCAAAACTGTAAGTTAGGACTCAGGGATCAAAAAAAAATAATAATAATAATAAATAAAACCCCAAAAATTCTCTCACTCAACCTTCTACGCAGAAAACGTTTTTGTTTTGTTTTGTTTTTATGTCTAAGATGGTTTTTGGTGAATCCGAGTTTTTTGGATGAGTTTTTTTCACAGTGTTGAATATTTTAGTAGTGTGAGAGAGTTTTGCGGATCTGTGTGTGTTTTTTAGTGAGTGAGAAAGTTTGAGTTTATTTTTTGTTGCTTGAGAGTTTTTTGGGGGGGGAGGGTCGGGGGGGTTGATTTTGTGTTATTGTTTGAGAGTTTCTTTTGAGAGAGCTGGAGATTTTTTTGTCAGGTTTTTCTGGTGTGTGCGAGAATTTTTTTAGTCAGTGATAAATTCTGGGTTTGTAAAACTTTTTTGGTGTGTGTCAGACTTGTTTTGTTGGTTGGGAGTTCTTTGAGAGCGTTGGAGGTTTTTGTCATGTGAGAGACGTTTTTGGGTGTGCACTAACATTTTTTAGTGATTGAGTAATTTGGTGTTTTCACAGATTTTTTGGGGGGGGGTGATTTTTTGGGGTGGTGAGTGTGGGAGTTTTTTTTTTCAAGATGAGTGAGAGGTTTTAGGTCAGTGTGAGAGTTTTTTGTAACATGAGAGTTTTTGGGTACCAGAGAGACTTTTCAGTGAGTATCATAATAAGAAGAAGAAGAAGAAAAAATATGTCGATGTAATATATTTTTGTAACAATGCATTCAGGGTTTGATTCAGCAATAGGTGGATTTTTTTCCTGAATTATCAGCTATCAACGTAAAAACAAAAAAGCAAAATTATTTCGAAAGCGTGATGTGCTGGGGGGAAAAAAAAAAAGTAAAACAATTTTTGATATGAGCGTCAACAATCCATTTCGGGACACGTAAAGCCATTTCCGATGACATTTTGTCATTGACCGGTGTCATGAGTCCCCCCAGGGTGCAGTATAGAAAGAAGAGCACTTGAAAGGATCCCTCACGGACGTCATCCCGCACGGTGCGGCCGATGTTAGCAGGGCAAAGCGTTCATATTTCAACAACAAGCTTCTCTCATCTATAACTGAACAAACCATCCTGGTGATTAAACGCACTTCCTCTCTGTTGACCTTAGCTGAGCGTCAGGAGACGCCACCGAGACGTGAGCGCCGAGTCTTCCTCTTGAATCGCTTGTATAATTCATGGCTTCAACGTCGGGGAATGTGCAGTGACTAGAAAGACCCTACTGCTGCCCACAGCTTCACTTTTTTTTATTTATTTATTTTTTTATGGCACAGGAGAGTTTTTGTCATCCACGGCTTAGTAGGCCAAAAGCGTGGGATGACTCAGGAAACTGAATAATTTACGATCCTGTCAGAATGTACTTGAACGGGGAAATTCAAACGAATGTTTGCTTCGTTTTACTAAGTCGATTCATGTCATCCGCAAGCTACGCACGCTACAAAAATGCCGGGCTGTTTTGCGAACCCACTCACTGAGTAGCTGTTGATTTTCAGCAGATAGGGTTACTTTGACGACCAAGGTCGGGTCAATTATTTCGATCCAGCAGATTGAGTTGAAGTTTTGAGAGTGTGTATACTGGCAAAGTCCGTCTACTGGTTCTCCCAAGTGTACAACACATTCGTTCTAAATGTCAGCGTCGCGGTGTACAGCGCCGGCGAACATTCAGCCCTCATCTCGAATCGTTTTTGGATTGTCGAGCGCAGACATCGGCGACGCGCGAAGTCATTTCCGAGTTAGCCCATTGTTGTTGCGAACGTGGACGACGGCTGCACCGAAGGTTTCATCGCTCACATTGGCTTTGCCGCCATTGATCTATTTCTCAGAGCCTCTGAGGGAGGGCAATTAGGCGAAGACTTACCGGAGTGTGCAATTTGGCTTTTGAATTAATGGGGATTACACACCACAACTGCATGTGTTTCCTTTTTGTCAGCATTTCTCAAACAGGAGACCATGATTCACAAAATAATTGCTCACAAATTGTATTGTCGTATCAGTGAAGAAAAATACAGACAGGACAAGTAAAAACAAAAGTAATTCATCAAATAAGCCAATTAAAAGCTTTGATGATTGTGACGTATCGTCAGAAATCTGAATTCCCGGCATGATTAATTAAAGTCAGGACATTCATTTAGTTTTTTTGTGTTTTTGTTGTTGGTTTTTTTTTTTTAGAACAGGCATATTATTTCACCAAAAATGTAGCAGCCTTTTTTAAAATTAAGTCCTATTTTTCTAGAGAATAAAGGCACATTTCGGCGTAGTATTACGTGTATAAATTGTACTTTTGCAATTCACTTAAAATCTTAAATATTATAGCGTAATGGGATGAAAGCGTGATAAATTGTCAAGAAGAAGAGAAAACAGGAGGTGTTTCGAGCGCAGCCTCATTTTTGCTGAAAACTTTAAAAAAGACATTATTAAATGACTCAGTCCTCTATCATCCTGCCTTTGACGCCTACAGATGCAGAGGGAGGATTTCAATCGGGTATTTCTATCATGCGGACTTTACTTATTGCGCTGTGGGTAGTTACTGTAGTACTTTTTATGCTGCTCATCTGAAAATAAATAGATGTTAAAAGAAAAAATAAATCTGCTTCACAACACTTTTTTTTTTTTTTTTATGGTCTCCTCCAGGTCTTGTCGTTGGGAGCCGACGTTCTCCCAGAGTACAAGCTGCAGACGAACCGCATCGACAAGTTCACCATCCTGCATTACAGCCCGTTCAAAGCGGTGTGGGACTGGCTGATCTTGCTGCTGGTCATCTACACGGCCATCCTCACGCCTTACTCGGCCGCCTTCCTCCTCAACGACCAGGAGGAGCAGAGGAGGCGTGAATGCGGCTACTCCTGCAGCCCCCTGAATGTGGTGGACCTCATCGTGGACATCATGTTCATCATCGACATCCTCATCAACTTCAGGACCACGTACGTCAACCAGAACGAGGAGGTGGTCAGCCACGCGGCCAAGATAGCCATCCATTACTTTAAAGGCTGGTTCCTAATAGACATGGTGGCGGCCATTCCCTTTGACCTGCTTATCTTCGGCTCAGGATCAGATGAGGTTTGTCATCTCTCTCTCTTTTTTTTGATTTTTTTTTATTTTATAAACCTTTTTCCTAAGGGAGTCGGGTATTACCGCATAGACGCTCAGTCATCTCCGCACAGCCATCTCTTTATTGACTGCAGACTTGGGAACCCGGGCCACTACTTAAAGCCTGTGTCTTTCTGTCTCAGCTATGGAAGGATTACTTTAAATTGCATGGCGTTTTTTTTTTTGAATGGTCCTCATTCTCGAATCCATTTACAAGGATTAATGGCTTACCAAATGGCAATCATTGATGCATTTATGTGACAAGGGGGGTGGGGGCCAACAGCGCCGTGCGCACGGCTTACATGCAGATGTTAGACAGTCATTGGTAGGCCGGCCGCCAGGCTTGGCCGGCTTTTTTGATAGCTCCGGATCCGCTTCAGCGCTTGATCGTGCTTTGTAGGCACTCCATTACGCCAGAAAAGCTCCTGATTATAAACCATAATCATCTTTTTTTGACCACTGCCGCCACGGCTTCTGCTGAGTCAGCGAGTCTCCTTCAATCTCAATGGCAATGTTTTACTTAGCCGCCGAAAGAAAGCGGAGTGTCCGTCTTGAAAATACGCAACCCGCGGTGATGGCGAGCGACGAATCGTTTGTCTTTTGATGCAGATTATATGATGATGTTTTCATCCAGGGATCCATTTTTCTATACGGCTTATTCTCACGAGGGTCACGGGTGAGCCGGAGCCTTTCCTGGCTGACATTCACACTCACTCACGTTTCTGGAGCTGTCGTGATATTCTCATGGGGACCGAGCCCCGCCTCAAATAGTGAAAATCCAACCAGTCATTTTAAACGCCCTTAATAAAAAGGTTGAGATTGCACTGTAAGTGAATGCCACATGATGGGGGTTCATGAAGCGCGTCAACTCACTTTTAACTTACTTCCTTGGCAGCAAGATTCAAACAGATGGTGCCAAAGCACTTCTGGTATTTGCTCGTAGGAGTGTGTTTATTTGAATCACTTTTTAAAATTCCGATCAATTCAAAATTTGAAGTGAAAATTCAAATGCTCAGAAACAGCAGGAAAAAAAAACAAAACAAAGGATGTGAAGATAACCAAAAAGATGCAGGGTTAAGCTTCAGTTTATTCTCCCTCGACCTTTTTTTTTTTTCATTAAAAAAAAAAAAAAAAAAAGCGTGAATGTTACTTTTCATTTTTTAAAATATATATTGAGTGTAAAATACAAAGAAAAAAAAAGATTATGTTGTAATGCAATATTGTTTTTATTTGATTTCAGTCCCAAAAATATCTTTTTTCCCCAATTTTTCCAAAGTCATCTGAGATGGGCTCCGGCTCCACCGTCTGACGTTATTGAAAACAGCCGAATGAATCTGTTTATGTTTTTCCTCCCCCCGTCGTACAGATAGAAAGAAAGCGAGAAGCCCCTCAGCAACCACATTATGTAATCCTTGTGCAGAGAAACGTGAATGAACTCCCGTTACATCTGTCATGGCTTATGTGTTTAACTTCAAAATGTACAGCTGTCATTCCCACGGCGCACAAATTCTGGTTAAAATCCACGGCGGTGGATATTCATTACAGTACGCGGTGTGTGGTTCGGAAAGTGTAAAATAACCTCAGTATACTGTAAATTTGTTTCGCGGAGCCACAAACGCTCTCGCTGCATGTCTTGGAATTATTCCACACATTATATTTGTCGTAATACTGCATAATGACGATAGAAAAATTCTGTAATGCTTGCCGTGCGGTCCGACTCATTGCAGCAGTTTGCACAACAAAAGTCAGCTCGTTGAAGTGCAGCAAAATGAATAGATTGTGGCGCGCAGAGGTACTGTGCCTCATTTTGCTTGTTTATTGTCCCTCTTGGGAAATGGCTGTTCAGTAGTCAGCACATCAGGGAACCTTGTGACATGATTAGAATAGCAACAGTTGACATACTGTACATGCTTCCCTCGCAATATATTGCTACGTGACGTTTTCTTCATCGTCAGCAGCAGGGAGTAAGTCTGTACAGAGGCGTGTTCAATCGGGTTTTTGTTATTCCGCAGATATGCACAAGCTGGCGCATTTAAAAAAAAAAAAAGAGGCGGTGTGCGCCGTTAATGGCGTGAACACAGCCGACGCCATTTGTCACCAATTTAAATGTGGCATTCATTTGTGTGTGACCGGAGTGTTGTCACTGCTCTTCGCCGCCGTTGCAACACAAGCGGTGGGCCTCTTTACTGACAGAATGAGCAGTTGAGAACCATTAGTGATGTCTAGAGACCTCACGGATTGTATTTACTGCCATCCTGCATGTGCCGCCTATGCACATATTTGTTTATTAATCAACGCAACTTCATATCCTGAATTTTTTTGCAAACTATGTGACCAGTTTCCCAAATCTTGCATACCGCGCCCTGTTATGAAACCTACATTTTGGTTCCTAAAATTTTCAGCCCCGCTTTTATTCCGTTCAACTCACCCCAACCCCTAACCTGTGTTCAGACGACCACTCTGATCGGCCTGCTCAAGACGGCGAGGCTGCTCCGTCTGGTACGAGTGGCCCGGAAGCTGGACCGCTACTCGGAATACGGCGCCGCCGTATTGATGCTGTTAATGTGCATCTTTGCCCTCATCGCCCACTGGCTGGCCTGCATTTGGTACGCCATCGGCAACGTGGAAAAGCCTTACTTGGAGCACAAGATTGGCTGGCTGGACAACCTGGGAGTGTCCATCGGCAAGAAATACAACTACAGCGATCCGAACTCCGGTCCCTCCATCAAGGACAAGTACGTCACGGCGCTTTACTTCACCTTCAGCAGTCTAACCAGCGTGGGATTTGGCAACGTTTCCCCAAACACAAACTCGGAGAAGATCTTTTCCATTTGCGTCATGCTGATCGGATGTGAGTGCAAACGCTCGTCGGCATCACCAACCCGAGCGGCCACCGAGATCGAGATTTGTCATTTGTCACGTGACGCTCAAACGACGCTTGTGTGTATTCCAGCACTTATGTACGCCAGCATCTTTGGGAACGTCTCCGCCATCATCCAGAGGTTGTACTCGGGTACGGCACGCTACCACGCACAAATGTTACGGGTCAAAGAGTTCATCCGTTTTCATCAGATCCCCAACCCGCTGAGGCAGCGGCTGGAGGAATATTTCCAGCACTCCTGGGCCTACACCAACGGCATCGACATGAACACGGTAAATAACCAGCACGCCGAGCGATTGGTCAACATTTCGCGCATGAATCTAAAGGCCAAGTCTTTTTTTTTTTCTCTCTTTTGTCTGCTTTACGTTGTCTTTCCTCTGGTGAGAGCAGGAGGTGCGTATGACATTTTATTATCTCGTCTCGTTCGACGGCCAAGCGGCTCGCCGTGTCGGCACGGTGTGCGATCAACACCACCCCCCCGCCCCCCCGAAGCCCCATCGCTTTGGTATAGAAACAAGCAGGGGGTTGCATGTTGCGCTGAAGAGCCTTCGTGTATCTGCGGCATGTCCTGAGAATGGAGGAATGCTCCACAAATCAAGTATTCAGACTCAACGTTCAAACCAAAACAGTTTTAATGCTAAATATTTGGATTGGATTGAAACGAAACGCAGAAAATGTGAGCTTTTTTTTTTTTTTTCCAAACACTCAAAAGTCCAAGGCCCAGTCGCCCTGATTTTGATGAGATAAAGATTTGAGTGCCTTTCGTCGTTATCTGACACAATGAAGGAGATCACCAGGTTGCTATCTGGCGGCTAGCGCCGAAACCTTCCGGGATATATTCCGGCCACCGGAGGCTTTAAGCAGATCTAGTTGCACGATTCAAATGTGTCGCGGTGTGGCGTGGGCGTCACGCATTCAGCGCACACGACACAACCGCTGTGCGTTTTTTTTCCAAACAACAAAAATTTCGACATATTTTCACTTGACAGGGACTTGAACAATTAAGTATGCGATGCTCTGCAATTGGGACAAAGTCGTTTGCATGCCTGCCTCACAGTTCTGAGGTTTGGGGTTTGAATCCGTGCGAGTTTGCATGGTTGCGTGGGTTTTTCTTTATTATTTATTAATATTATTGTGGCTCCCTCCCACACTCCAAAACATTCATGTTCGGTTCATTGAAGAATCATTGTGAGAAGGGTCGCAAAGCTTTTTGAAACAAAGCTACTTTGATTCATGTGAAGGGCGACACGCACTTGTGAATGAACACATTTGCTCCTCCCACCCATCCATCCATTTTCCAATCCGCTTCTGACCCCGGCTACACAAAATTCTTCTCACTTGAAGTTTTAAAAGCACTTCGCGCAGGCTTTTGATTGATTTGACTCGGGCACTAATTGACTCTACCCCCCCCCCCCCACCAATAGGTACTCAAAGGTTTTCCGGAGTGCCTGCAGGCAGATATCTGTCTTCATCTCAATAATAATCTCCTTCACAACTGCAAAGTGTTCCAAGGAGCCACCAAAGGCTGCCTGAGGGCCTTGGCGATGCACTTCAAGACCACGCACGCGCCTCCCGGAGACACTCTGGTCCACAGCGGCGACGTTCTCACCGCCCTCTACTTCCTGTCCCGCGGCTCGATTGAGATCTTGAAAGATGACATCGTGGTCGCCATCTTGGGTAAATTGCATCGCTTGTTCACCATACTGACGAGATTGTCTTCACAAAAATTGTGTGATTGTGAAGCGCCGTCGTGGAGACGTCTGACTTATGTCACATCCCGCCTAAATGCGCATTTCAAGCGCTGACAGAAAGTGGCAAAATGGCCGCCCCAGGAGACGGATCAAACAAAAATTTGCCGCTTAACTTACATTCCTATTCTTCCATATATACGAGTTTAGATGCACGGAACATATTTTGGTTCAGAAAATTTGGGGGTTGAATTCCTCAACCATTTATGTAAATTGCAGAAAGCAGGCGTCCATTGATATTCTCAGGCGGAAAAGGGTTCGGGTTGAATTTTCGACGGATCAAAGAATGAGCGGTTTTGTGGAGTAATTGCTGCTTTTAAAATGCCTCGCGTCAACACATTTTGACAGGACGGCGCCCTCACCACTTCTGCCCTGTGGCCAATAGCGGCGTTCCGTGCCGAGAATGAGGCGCTGGCATTTCTATTAAGTGGACCCATAAAAGGTTGTTAAAAGAGCACGCGCAACTGTCGGCTGAGTCTTGACAGCCGCAAAATGGGTGAGGGGGATTATTGTCGAAAGGTATCGATATGATGTGAACAAGTTTCCTCTCGGCTGACTTTGTAATATTTCTCCACTGCGATAGGAAACGCATACGTTCCAACAATGCCTTTCAACGGGCGAGGCGAAGCCGGGTGAGCTCGGGTCCAAAAGAGCATTTGGCCGCGAGATGAATGCGCTCCGAAGCCGAAGCCGACACAATGAGGCTTAAGCACGGGCTGCTGAATCGCACCGACCCATTACCAACACCCCCGCCGCCGAAAATGTCACTGATCCAATTGATCCGTCTACTTTCACGACGGCGTACAGTGCGAAGCCAGCAACGTGCTTGATCAGCACAGCTTTGCTCCACTTCTTGGGGGGCGTCGGAGGGGAGGGGGGGGGGAACCTGCGTTTTTAGCACAATGCCACACATGAGCGACGAGGCTCACCTGCAAGCGAAAGGAGCCAAAGGCTGCACATTGCGCCAACGGCGCAGGCGTATAATAACATCTTCAACTACGGCCTCCCCCCTCCATCCCCAAGCGGTTCATTTGCTTCTGATATATGGTAGGTCAACTTCAGCGCCATTGCATAAATTGTACCATTAGATCGCTTTCCATGCTCATTCACGCATCAGCCCCAGAAATCATTTTGAACTAACTCAATAGAAAGGTCTAAAAAGACCTTTATCCGTATCTCTTGTGCTTCATTGCACTGCAGCGTAGCTTCCCATCCATCTCATTTTCTATAGTGCTTGTCCTTTCTATAGGGTCATGAGCGAGCCGCAGCTTCAACCAAGGACGCATCAATACTAATAAAAAAAATTCACACCTCTGGACAATTTTAATTCTTCAATGAACCTTAAGAGGAACTCAGGGCGCTCCGAGAAACGCATGCAAACTCAGGCCCGGGTCGATACATGCGTGCAGTCAACAATGAGGCGTTCTAATGCGGCCAACGGCAACGGAATTATCTGACGAGAAGATGCATTTTCGGGGGATTGGCGTAGCTTGGGGGCTAAGTGCATAGCGCAGTTGCTCTGGTTAACCACTGAAACGAGCAAAGGCGCTCAAGATTACAGAGTAGCGGGGAAAAAAAACAAATCATCGAGAAAACTGAAAGTTTACCGCTGTATCTCCACAACTTAGTTTGACATATTTATCAGATGTTTTCAGCTACTTATTGTCGTAGCAATTTGGACAAAAAGTCCTCAAAGTAGAGGCAAGAGAGTGGCTGCCTTTCCAGCAGCTCCTATATTTTGTTGTTCTACTTCTTCCATTCATAACTTTGCTGCTGTGAATTGGGAATTTCTCCATTGCGAGACTAATAAAGGTTTTCTTATCTTATCTTATCTTATCTTAAATGTAAAAAGAGAGCTCACATTTGGTATTTGATCTGTGTGTGCGTGTGTGTGCGTGTGTGTGCATGGTTGTCAAAAACCCAGGGAAAAATGACATCTTTGGTGAAATGATCCATCTATTTGCCAAACCGGGAAAGTCCAACGCTGACGTGCGGGCTCTGAGTTACTGCGACCTGAGCACCATCCAACGGGAGGACCTTTTGGAGGTGTTGGACATGTACCCAGAGTTTGCTGACTACTTCTTTGCCAACCTGGAGCTGACCTTCAATCTCAGAGATGAGTCTGCAAAGGTAAAAAGATAATGCGAACGGCGGCCGCGCGTGTTGCTAATGCAGCGACGACAGCTTTGGTTAGCGTCCACCGTTCTCATCAATCAACGTGAGTTTATCTCTGAAGTGAGGCGGAGAAACGTGGGTCGGGCCGGACAGCGATTTCGCGCAGTTGAAGCGGGAACTGGATGTCCCGTCACTGCGCCCGCCGGCTTTAAGTCTCGATCCAAAGGGAGTCGCGTGCCGCGATGTGCTTGTGTCTCAGCCGCAAATGAAGGCGCAGGCATCGAAGAGAAGCACATTGCTTTGTTGTTAGCATCCGGCCGTCTTGATTTGCTTTGACAGTCGGCAACGGTTTTGAAAGTGCGCTGCTGGCGCCTAAACACCACTGACTTTTTTATTTTTATTTTTTTTAATCCGTCGACTAAAATATTTTGGGAATTTTCAACATGTAAAATATTCTTATTCAATTAAAGCGTGAGGAACATTTCAAATCCCATCTGTGCGATGAAACAATGCTACATAGCGTGGTTGCTAGCGACAGCCGCTTTTGCTTTATTTATTTATTTGCCCCCCCCCCAAATATCACCCAAGATGTCTTCACCTCTGGAAAACAAATGACATCCGCCCTTTTATAGCTCTTAACATGCACGATAATATATTTATATTATTGCAGCCTCCCAGTCCCGGGGGCTGCGACTCGGATGGCGAGGGCACCAGGAGTATCAAAAGAAGGATTTCCTTCACACCCGAGCCACCCAAAGGTAAGTCTTTGATAAAAGAATCGATACGCAGCAACAACAACATCTCCCGATCATGCGTAGTGGACGACCATTGCTGTTTTCCGTTCCCCAGTGGAAAACAACGAAGTCAGTACCGAACTGGAAATGGGGAGGGAGTCAAACCTGTGCCTCAAGAGATGTTCCGAAGTCCGGGGTCCCTCGACACCCAGCAGCCCTGTTCTCGACTCTAATCTTCTCGGACACAACGAGGTCACAGACGGCTTGAGGAGAAGTCCATCTTTTCAAGGTAAACGCCTTTGGAATTACCGGTACTCTTTCTTGAAATGGGAGCGGTTGTTGATACCTCAACTTGTGGGAGCCGGCCATTGCAAAGCAAGGTGCAGAGAATCCAATTATAGCACACACGCGCACGCTCTGTACCTTGGGTGGATTTTCACCTTTTGCGCGTGCTTCTGGAACAAAAGCGACTCACCGTAAAGCGACCTGTCCGCGCAGTGCCATTAAAACGCCACAGCAGCATCGTGTCGTTTCTTTGGACAGGCAGCGAGCGCCACGCGCAAATGCTAACGATCAAGGGGGGGGGGGATGCCGTAAATAAGTAAGTGGACGCCGCTGTGGGCTGGAACACATCAGAGCATCATTGACGTAACGTTTAAAGGCCGGCCTAACCGCGCCATCCCTGTTTGATGGTCCTGTTTAGTGGTACGGCCTCAGTTTGCAACGCCTCACTTCCTCCGGGTGCTTTTACAACTTTTTTTTTTCCCCCCACAAATAACCCGAGACGCAGACAAATGGCCTATATTAAAACTGTTTTCATATATAAGGCGCACCGCATTATAAGGCGCAGAGGATAGAAGCTACAATAGTGGCTGCTGTTGCTTTATGCATCCACTAGATGGAGGTAAAGGGGAATACAATACAATACAGCTTGATTTATATCACGCTTTCAAAACTGCTGCAGCTGTCACAAAGCGCTTGACCGAACACTTTAAATACTACGTCCGAGAAATTTGAATATTGATCCATCTGTAAGGTGCATCGGATTATAAGGCTCACTGTCGTCTTTTGAGAAAACCGAATGAGTGCCTTATGATGCGGGAAAATCCGGTAATGTAATAATATCCTCAAATTCTAAAATCATGACCAAATTTAAAAAAAATAAATAAAAATGTACGCTCTCTCTACCATATGTGGACAATGTTGGACAGGCTCGCAGTTCCAACAGGATCGTGCCAAATATTTCCTATGTATTGACCCCACGATGTGACTTCCATGACAAGATAGTGTTGTTCTCCTGATACGGCTTCCTTCTATTGTTCCTTTGACTTGCTCGCCGGATGCTGAAGCCGCGTGAGGACAAGGCGCCGCGTCGCTTGTGAGAAAAGGGAAACATGACAGAACAGGCTTCCTCGTATCTTTGCGGCTCATCGCGCCGCTACAAAGCCACCTGCACATGCTGCATCCACTGATACGCAAAGCATACAAGCGGCCGTCATTTGTATTTTTTTTTTTTATTGTCTATTAGTCCAAAAAGGGGCTCCTGACACAAACGAGCGCAAAGCAAACGTAATGATAGCAGGTGTCCAGCTGCGATAACAACGGCCTTCGTTTGCCACTTGAAAACAGCGCTCGAGTAATTCCGCTGGGACAAAGGCCTGATGAATTACAACAAAGGCCCGACACTCAGCAATCCTTTTGAGATTAACGACAGCCCTATTTTAACAAGCATATTTTTTTTTCTGTTGTTGGGGTTTTTTTTTTTTCGCGGCGACGCTCTTCCGCCGCACATGTAATGCGCGTAAAGGATGCATGTTGCTTTTGCGCTCTCCGCAGATCTGTGCTGTGATAAATGGGTGTGCAAGAAGCCTACGGACTACCTGGATGAGTCAGCGCATTTCCAGGAGCTGCGAGGAGACGATAACTCGGCCAGCGAGCTCACCTACGGAGAGGTGGAACAGCGCTTGAATCAGCTCCAAGAGCATTTAAACAGGTAGCGTTTTCTTCTTCTTCTTCTTCTTCTTGGGAGGAAGTCAACATTGCAAAGCATACATGATGCAGTAAACCAGACTAGAATCTTCAATGCAAATATTTGTAAAATCGCCTTCAGGTCAAGAACAAGAAATTCGAATCAGTGGCGGACAATATAATGATCAGGAAGAGTGCAAAGCAACTCCCAAGTAAACAGTAGCAGTGCGAAATAACAGGTAGCGTTAAGTTGAGCTAACAGCCTGCAAACGCTTGCAAAATGTCATTTGGAACCACTTTGGACAGACGCTGTGGATGACACACGGGATGGAGTCGGCACCAAATTGTTGATTTACCTCGCCGTGAGGATACGTTTTCATTCGCACTGAGCCTGTGTTGGCCAGGTGTGGAGATAGCAAGTTGATTTGGGTGGAAAGAAGCCTGTTGATGAAAGATGACATCATGACATTCAAAGCAAAATAACCCATCTGGTGAGTCAACAAAAAGAATCCAAAATGAGTTGGATTTTTCAGAACGCAGCACTTGGGTCCATGAAACAAACCAGCGTTTGTGTGTGTGTGTGTGTGTGTGTGTGTGTGTGTGTGTGTGTGTGTGTGTTTACAATAAATTATTGATTATATCATCGTATAATTTTAAAAAGTGCATACCTACTGTACATATGGGACTGGAGGCCCAAAACAACAATCCTAATCCTCAACTTTGGGCCGGTTAAAAGCTCTGATATGATTGTGCCCGGTCATCACATAAATCTGCCATCCCGGGCATTTCGAGCCAGCGGCACTGTATGAGGGTTGAATTCCAGTTCGTTTCGCTTGTTTCATATCCTTTTTGTGAAACTAGTGGTGAATATTTCAGATGAAAATGTTCCCAAAATAAAAAAATAACAATGGTGCTTAGAATTAAACGTTGTTAAGTCCTTTTTCACACTGCACTTAGCAGACCACAGCGTGCTGTCAACGAACTTGAACACCAAGAATATCAAGAGCAGGGGGGAAAATGTCTTAATGGTCATTATGTCGAGGTCGCCTTTGAGAAAAATGTCTCACCTGATCGACCACAAACGATATGCACGTCGAAAAATAAGAAAATAATGTGAGATAAATCCTCAATTGATGTTCTTTTCGAAAGGCTTGGGGGAGGGTCTTTTTATATCCCTGTATTTGTCCAAACTCTGCATAAAGTTAAAGTGACCTATAATAATATTTAACGTACGTTTCCCTGTCTTGTGAGCCGAAGCAGTCATCAAGAACAACACTCACTACACTTGTTGCTCATGATCTTGATCTTTGGAGAGATTATTTTTGTTTTATTTTTCAGGCAGTAAAAAAAAATGTGAGAACCTCTGATGTAATATTTTTATTTATTTTTTATTCACCCCATCAGTGCAATATTCTGCTTGAGCAACTTAAAGCACTTTGAATTGGCCGTAAATGCTGAAGTTGTCTAAGTTTGAGGAAAACTCAAAATGAAGCAGATGGCAAACGGCCACAGAATCTTGAAAGTTTTGCGGAAGGCGACTGATTATTATTTTTATTTATAATCCAGTCCAACCGCTCATCTACTTTATGTAGATGCTAATGATTAGTGCGTGCTTTCACACACCAAAAAAAGGCGGGGGGGTCTCCTCCCACACAAAGCAAAGTACGCTGCGCTTACACCAAGATCCCTGCCAGGATTTATGTTGGGCACAATAATGGAGGAGCGGTGGTGGGGGGGGGGGGGGGAATCTACCTGGCAAGAGAAAATGTTGGACTAAATATACTGCAGGTGGGATTTGAGGCGAAAGAACCGTAACATATTGAAAACACAATAATGAATTGGTACAACAGCTTTGTTTATACTGACAATCTCATATATTAATGCTTGAGCAGATGTAGTTTTGATATCATTTTCAGAAGAGGCAAAGTTTTAACAACACAACTGCAGCCAGCCGGCAAGCCAGCGAGTGACACATAAAATGAACAGCAGGTGTTATTTTGGGCTGGGGAATGACACCGGCATCAGCACCATGTGTCTGGCTCATTTTATTTTCGCACAAATAAGTCATGTAATACCCTGCAATAGAATCAATGCCAGGTTTTCGCCTCGTGTGAGATGGCTGGATGAGCATAAAGTGTACTTTTGATATTGTGCCGTATCCATGATTGAGCACATGACTTCTTATTTCAATCCCTGCACAAATACACTCTTAATAAAGGGGGGGGGGGGGGGGGGGTTTGGTGGGGGGGGGGGGGGGGGTCATTGTTGGCTGGAGGTGTTCAACAAGAAGTACTGATTAAATGTAGTCATAGTTACATTCATGGAAATAGTGTGCTTGTTCGCAGTAAACAATAGATTCACACCTCCCATACATGAGCTAATTATCACCTTTGGTTAAAATCATCCTTTTAACTTGTTTGTCCATAACACGAGCTCTTTGTCCGCTATCATGGAGCAAAAGCCCCCTCTAGTGGTCAGAAAACGAACTGCAGCGACACGCTGTGATCACAATCGAGATTGTGTATGATGGTGGATGGTACAATTTCATATTATTGAGAGTCTATGGAAAGCAGTTTGAAACATTTGTAAAAAAAATATAAAGGGCAAATAATATGTGTTACTGGGTGAATGAGAGGCATTTACTTTCCTCAGGTTTTAGGTTGTCGCTTTTTGAAGCTCAGTCAAGGTGACGTGCGTTTATTTACGGGGTGCCTTGCCACATCAAATATGGCGGACACTCACAAAGAGAAAAAGTGACCCAAATTGTAGTCTACATTATGATTTAATAGTCTGTCTATGGTTAAATCGTGCTTGCTTTTTTTAATGGCAGAGTTTCAAGGCGGACTCACTGGTGTCTGTCACTTTATTGTCTTGTCGATTTAATACGTAACTCTTATGAAGTTTGATTAGTATTTGACCAGCGTTTGGCGAGCAAAAGCGTCAAGCTAATCTAGCTAGTTTAGCTTCACAGTTCACAGCGTTACCCAATCTGCGGCTTCACGTAAGGTAAACGTCGTAGATGTTTCTCAAAGGTCCGCACACTCTGATGCTGTTTTTCAGGTTGGAGTCTCAGCTTACGTCCGACATTCAGACCATCCTGCAGCTGTTGCAGAGGCAGCCCGCGTTGGGTCCTCCAGCTTACAGCACCGTGACGGCCAGTCCAGAGTATCACGGACCTGCCGTGAAGATTCAGCCCGCTGCCTTGACAGCGAGCCATTTTTTCAGCCATACGCAAAGTCAAGTAAGTGAAGACTGTCAAAGTCAAAAGGTTTAGAGAAGCATGTCATGCAGAGAAAGGTGGAAGAAAAATCAAAAAAAAAAATCTGACTTTTGTGGACTGGGACTTTGGGCTGGCGTGGCCGCTTTAGAGCGCCTCGTTGTCACAGTGTAGAGAAGCCCAGTAGCAACCCTGCAGGATATACTTTAGTCACCAATTTTTTTTTTTCAGGACTACCACGAGTAGTTGTATTTGACAGTTAAGCAGGACTGACTTCAGCGCATTCAGATGAACTTTAACACATCCACCTGTTGCCATTCTTAACCTCTCCGCTCCGCATCCTCCCACCCAGGGTCCGAACCACAAAGTGAAGAGGGCCTTTCGGGAATCCAAAGACTCAGTGCCGAGCTTGGCCACCTTGAAGGTACCGGTCGAGGACAACCTTTCAACGTTGCTTTTACAAAGACAAGCAGAACCGCAACAGCAACAAGAGATTACCCGGGATCAGCAGTCAACATTGATCCTGATTTCAACATCAACCTCGTCTTCACCCACTTCCGACTGCACCCTCAACGCCACCGGACTCCACAGACCTGACTCTGACCCGGAGCTACCGAGGCCATAAACCTTTCAGCATTTGTCTTCTCACCTCTGGGTCGTAAATGCTGTAATAATTACATGCAGTCGTAGTCACTCTTTCTAAGCATGCTGCAACAGACAAATATATATTCTTGATTTGCAGTTGCTCGGTAGTATATTTAATGTGTTTTTTTTTTCTCATGCTGTCCTTTGCGGTATTGCGGTACCGCTGGCATCCATGTACGTATTTCCAATGTAAATGCACTTGGAGAGCGCAAACCACCACCAAGGCCACGATAGACTACCAACAGCCATTCTGTTATATGCAAAACCTCACACATACAACACTGTATGTCTTGGGCATACATACAAACAAAATAGTAGAAATATGCTCCTTTTAACCATAACGGTAGAAAAAATAATAAATAAATAGTTTGGCTTGATAAAATGAAAAGCTTGTAGGACAAACATGATCATCAAGATGACATATTCACCAGCAGTCGCCTCCAAGCTGTTATCATGAGATTTTAGCAGGATTTTCTACAAAAGAGAACGCACTGAAAGTTGTGTTTAGTTGGGGGGGGCACGGCACGCTTTCTTTCTGTAGACGAATGTTATGAAAATATAATGGCTAAACTGGTTTGAAATGTGGATGAAAATGAGCAAATTTCTGTCATTCTCTGAGAAATGGAATTTGGTACACCCCTGTTCAAATGCCAGGTTTTTGTGACATAGACATAAATCATTTCAAAACTCTTTCCGCCATTAATCGGTCACTTATACCCTGTACCACACAATTGGAAAACAGTGTTGAATCTTGTTGACATACCTGCCACCATCTAAAGTGCGTCTGACTCACGTCAAAACACAGCTTCTGAAAGTTTCGGCAAAAAGTTCCCCTTTGCCTTCACTGGATTTTCCCCGCGTGTTTTGGGAAGATTTGAATTTTTGGGTCATAATTACTGAAGCAGATGTTTGACACAAACACACAGCACCGTTTGTCACCAAGAGAGTCAAGTTGGAGGGAATTAGGAACAGTTCCAAATATCAGTCAGCGTTAGTACAAAATAGGTCAGGAAAAGCCTACTAGAACATCAGAACTTTACATGGTTAAACAGGCACGTTCAATGCCTCCCATTGAACGGTCAAGTCTACTCCATATGGAGTCACATCACAGCACACTTACGCAAACACTTGGGTTTTTTTTTTTTTTTTAAGGGTGAAAAAAGTTTTGAAATGATCTATCTTGATCTCATTTCCTTCAATCACAAAAACCTGTTCAGTGGAACTTATGCTTCTGCATCCCGCTCAATCATAATGTGGTGCTTTATTTTTTGCTACCATTTCCAACTGAATTCTTTTTAGTGACTATGTTCTTTACACAGACACATGATGAGCTAATCAAATCCAACTATCCTGCAGGTCCAGGATTCTGGATTTTTACAATTTTTGTTTTTGTTCCTCATATCTTTGCATGCTGACCTACGAGTCACAAAGAAAAAAAATTGTTCATTTTTGTTCAGATTTATTTGAATGATGCTTAACCAGAATTAATTGGTCAACATATTTGAGCCTGTCCGTTTTTTTGGTGTCTTTTTTTTTTTTTTTTTCTGGGAGGTGTAATACAGCATTTACACTGAGGTATGACAACTGTTTGTGTATCCTTGGCTGTATGCCTGTCTTCTCTGAAGTGTGACTCAGGGGTTCTGGACAATTGCACTGCAGTTTACAGTATCCAGAATACTGTAATAATCCTCTTTATACAATGTGCATTATTACTTTGGTCACTGGTGTGCACCTACTGTACATCACACTATCATTTGTCGACAAAAGCATGTTTTTTTTTAAATCTGTATAGTCATTGTTTTTGCACCACTTGCTAGCCCAAAGTAGCACATATGATAACGATGTCAGCATACGTCTCTCTTTTACCACGTAGAAAAGTTCATGTTTGCACATAAACATCCCCGACAGAGGGTTTTGTGCCTCTTCCATAAATACAAATGCTACGTCGGGACACTTCTTGACATATCAACAAGTCGTTTCATTTCCTAGCACAATTTTGGTGACGTTGTACATTGAAATATTGCTAGAAACTGAAAAAATGAAATTCATCATATTGCCAGATGTTTGAAAAAAAAAATCTATTTTTTTTACTGCTAATCTTATTTTGAAAAGTAGTAAATGTTTGTTTTGAAACTGGGATCTGCAATAAAAGGAGACACTTAAAACAGTGGAAAGAATTACTTTATTTTTCGATGTTGATCTGACATGGGAGCAACAATGATATGATAATGATACGATATCCTTGTTGGACTTGGTGAAATTCTGTATTTGGGTCTGTTTTTAAGGTTTAAACTTTTAGCGCCACAGTAAAGCAAGTGTTGAGAACATTAGCTGTATATACCATGTATATAGTAAGGCGTTTTTAGCCGAAAAAAACGACCATGTACAGGAAGGCGTTTTTAGCCGAAAAAACCGACCATGAATAATAAGGCGTTTGTTGCCCAAAAAAAAAAACCGACCATATATAGTTAGGCATTGTTTGCCGAAAAAAAAACGACCATGTATAGTAAGGCGTTTGTTGCCCAAAAA